AGATAACATGGTGAATGAACCCACATGGCAGACATGTTTCTCCCATATATTTTTGCACATTTTCTTACTTTTCCCTATATCGTTCACTCAGACTTTTCGACGTGTTTTTGGCTGCTCGCACTGAAGTAATCGCAAAGTTTTGTGTCTGCTGCAAGTTTTTATCTCTGAAAATTGGCGCATTAATGCGGCTAAAGAATGAAAAAAGTTTGGAATAACTTGTTTGGACTTTAAGAAATAAAAATGTATTATCCGAATTGAACAAGTAGCAGTTGTGGTGTGAGGCTTACTTGAGTGTAAAGCTTCATGCTCTAAATGCTAATGGAATGTGGTTTTGAATAATTCTTCGGGTGCAGCTCAAATATTTGTGTCTTTAGCATCAGCTTAAGTATTATAATTTTGTTTAAATTAATGATGGGGTTGTTTCTATTTAACCTTAATTTAAAAAAATGTTACTAGTCTACGACCTCGACTATAAGATACACGTTATTCAGCTGTGGGGTGTGCGAGAGAGATGGAGATATGCATGCAGAAATCGGCTGTTTCCGATATTGCACACCATACAAACACGCCATCTAGCGTCTATTTCTTTATTTGCTTTAGCCGTTAGCTTGATTATTATATGTTTTTTAATTAATGATGGGGTAATGTGTTCCAAAAAACATAAGAGCATGTTTATTAAATAAAATTTCCAGAAGCCTTAATTTAAATAATTCGAATTCTTTCACCAGAAACCTTTTTTCGTTTCTTACTTTTGCACGCCCTGTGCCATTGGCCATTAAAAATACAATCCGTTTCCTGGTAAATGACATGAAAACAATTCAAGCGAAGCTTCAATCACGTTAAGACCCCGACCCAAAAATAAAAGCCTAGCAGGAAATTCATGCAAATGCAACCAACTGAGGAAGCATTCTTTAAAAGGCAAATTCAGGGAAAATGTCGAGAAAAAAGCAACGAAAATCACAGGCCAAACAAATAAATAAATTGACCATTAAAATAATTGCTGTGCCTAAAATGCGTCTCGAACGTGGCTTGTAACACGCTTTGCTCGTTGTTGTTGCATCTGTTTCCTTCGGCAGGCGGTTGTTGTTGCTTCTGTTGGCGCTGCGAATGTTGCAACAACTTGTCAAACATTTGAATTACAGTTACGAAACCAATAGCGATGCCAAATGACCGGCCCCTCGCATTTTATTTCTTTTTTTCCATTGGCCAAATTTGGCTAAATTTAATGAAGCAATTAAATGTCGGTATAAAAAATGTACACACCAACAAACATTAAACATTTCAAATTGGAAATACACGTATTTGTAAGACTGGTATGATGTTTGCCGCCAAATATTTTTATGGTTTAGGCTTTTTGGGTAATACATTTTATTGCTATAAACTCAGAATTAAGGAGCTTGGAAATTTATGTTGTTCGATTAATGTTCTCCTAAAAGCCTATGCCCTATGGAACTTATATATCTTTGGGCCAAAAACAAGCCCTTTTTCATGTTTTTTTTTTTAGTTTCTAAAGATATTTTAACTTCACATGATTTGGTACATTTTAGGTACATGGTTTTTTTTTCCAACCCTTAAAAATAAGTACACATTTAAGTACCCAATACAGGGAAAACAATCTGAAGACCTTAACTTTCAAAGACTATATTTACTATACAATTGTTCAGATCGAATAAAGGTTTTGGGAGTGAAACCTAGAAAACTTAAATTAAATTTAAAAAAATTGATTTGTTTTAAAAATACTATGTAACCCCTTAACAAACCATTGGTGAGTTAAGTAAACAATTTGGACTCTTCTAAAATATTATATTTTGATTTATTCAAATTGAAATGACTTTCCTTTTCAGAACATTTCCATTGCAGAACTGCAGTAACAGTTTGGGAGCCACTGGCCGAGTTGTCCGTAGAATTCTCGCTAGACTTTCAATTAGTCACGCGCGCCCCAAAGCCATTCAAGCATAAATCTAGACATTGTTGTACGAACAGACAGGCTGACAGACTGCTTACTGGCAAACTGACAGACTGGATGGCTGACTGCCCAACTGACTGACTGACAAAGAGACATTTGGACGGACAATCCCTGGCTATGGCTCGATTCTTACCGGTCTGCGAGGACTGCCCGAGACTGTCGCCTTTTTCCCAGCGCGAAGAGAAATATTTTAAGCTGTCAAATCGTTGACACACGCCTGTCGTTTCTATCTTGTCTCCGAGGCTGTTGTTGTTGTTGTAAATCACTCGATTAGTCTAATTGTTAAAATCCACGCCGGGGTGGAGAATCCGCTGAAGCCTGGAAGTCCCAAAGATTTTGTCGCCCATTGGGGAGACAGATAGACAGACCAACGTCAATGTCAAGTTCCCTCTGAGGTCATAAATCGTGTTCTGTTTCGGTTGGCTTGGCATTGGGAAACATCAGCAGACAGAGGGAGATCTCTCTAATGTGTTTCTAAATAGTTGTGACAAATGCTTAGATATTTCCAAAGCCAAATCACACAACACACTTAATTGTGAAGATGCAGCTAATTAGTGAACTTGTTAGGGGAGAATTATTTGAGTTGATGCTTATTGAATGGGACCGATGGCAGCTGTTAAAAGCACTTGGGGAATGGCGAGGAGTTAAGAAAAAACTAGTTCTAAGATCAGTACAAGCTAAAGTAATTTTTCCCTCAGTTCCATCACATCAGATGAAGTAAATAAAAAGTACCTATTATATGTACTGTCTATCTATATATTTTAAATGAAACAAAATCAGTCACAAAACTGCCTGTTTTCTTGATTTTTAAAGGTCTTAGGAATGAAAAAATTTTAAACTTTTGAAAAATTCTATAAAAATTTCGCTTTAAAACTTGTTTACAAAAACAAAAACGTAAAAATCGAAACGATTTTAAAAATTCCTGACAAGCTGTAAATATTCTTTGTCACTCAAGCAAATCAACGGAATGAGAGCGTGTAAATTTTGACACATGCCCCTCATTTGACTTCGTTCCCTCGGCATCCGCTCTGTCCATATCTGGAAAATCATGGGAACCTATAAACTTTGTGGTCGTTGTCTGACCAAAAATGTAGTACATGCCACAATTGCATTAAAAAAAATACGACCAGGCGGTTGACATATACATAGAGTAAAGCAGATGCCATAAAAGGTTTGCCATTTATATTTGGATTCTGTTTGGCAACTAGAAATAAGTATTGTCAGAATTAATTAAGTGAAGAGACCAATTTAAATACTTCTGTACGAAGTTCCCCTTTTTGTATAAGAGACGTGCAGGAATTTATTAATAAACTCCGAGAGCAACGCATGGCTGTCATAAATCTTTCATACTTTAAGGCATATGCAAAAACAATGTTTTTAATTTTAAATCACTTCCAGTCTGTGGATATTGCTCCTCCTTCTTGGCTGTGCTTCTCGTTTTAATTAAGTGCACACTCAATGCCTTTGCCTGGGTCCGGGCCCAAAGAATCTTTGTGTGCCGGAATGGTCCGGTCCCGTGGCATATGGTGTATGGTATACGGCAGTGGGGAAATAATATCAAAACATTGATATATCTGCTGGAAGATTCGAGTGCAAGCCGCACTTGAATGTCAACTTTGTGTCGGCTGATGCTAAACAGATGATATACATTTTCCGTTTCATTCCTTCTCCGTTTTTAGCACATTATTGGCCAATAGGGTCGTTGGGAGAAGTGTGGATCTGAAGGGATTCTGTGCTCGAGTGCACTTTGAAATACCAATTAACACTATCGGCGGACGATTAGCACCCAATAGAGATTTAAAGATCCGCGGCAAGTGTGAAATAAAATATGGTAACAGACGCCTTCTGGGAGGTCTATGCTATTTTAATTAGGCAAGTCTTTTAAATTTGTTTTTAAAATCATCTAGGGAAAACTTTTTGTGTAATTTTAAAGGGCTGAACTGTGTTCTTTCACAAAGATTATTTAAAATGGGGAAAAACAGCGGAAATGAAAGTCTAAAGTGTTCAACTGCGAGAAAGTAGATATTACAGAATATCAGTATGTAAACCAATATGACTGGTGTGTAAACCAATATGACTTAATCAAGAGCCCATCAAAACCAATTTATGTATGCCATTTTGAGCATTAGAACTGAATAGGCATTAAACGAGTTTCAGTTCCACTCCAAACACCGAGAAGATCATATTTCAAAGTTCCAATGAGACAGACCAAGGCATGTATAGCGATGGATCATGAAGCTGGCGTTAAATCGCTTGTAAATGAGTGACAACTCAGCGGCTTAATTACAAACTGGATCACAGCTCGTCTGTCACAAGAGCTTAGGCCCGACAATTTTGGATGGGTGAGACGAGAGATGGGTCTCCATTTGACACAAGTTTGACTTACCTGCTTCAAATCCAATAAGATGGTCACATACTCAAACTGCCGGCCACCCTGCAGAGTGGGTGATTGCCACCAGCCTTCTTCAAGTCCTGAGACCGTCGAGATTAGCGACTGTATGGAGCGCTGCTTGGCCTGATCCGAGGAATGGGCATTGCAAATGCCACATGGCTTGGCACCGACCTGTTTGCAGTACTCCTCGGCTCCGTTCTGGCCACATGTCGCATTCACGGATATCTCAGCCCGGGGAATCACATTGAAGAGCGGTGGATAGAGGCCTCCGGAGTCACTAAATGAGTACAAGTCCTCGGTTTTCAGCAATCGAAGAGCTGCAAGTGGATAATATAGTCTTTAGTAAAACATCAAAGTGAGATTAAAGAAAGTTACAATTTTAATACAATATTTTTTTTTAAAGGAAGAATTCTACATATTTGGTTTTTAGGAAGTACTCTTTATATAACTTATTCAAAAATGACAAAGTACCTTATCGAAAAGTCTTTCAAAGTAGAGCCATTTTAAGATCTTCGTAATGGTGTTTTCATATATTGTGATCAACCACTGTATTGCTTACCACTCAAATAAAATGTCAACTTTAAATACCACAACTGTAAAACATTAATTACACAAAAATAATAAGTTCATATCTTTCCAGTGCTGTGTTATTTTATTTGTCTTCTTAAATTATATGCTTTTGACATACAGAAAGTAGTTATTAGTGAGCAGGAAAATCATTTTCAGATTAGGTATTACTTCAGTTGATAGGACTAATCCAAATTGCGGCTGCCGTACTCATAGAACTCCTCCTCCAGCGCAACCAGCTCATCGGCCATATCTTGGGCCAATTTGCCAATCTTTTCGTCGTACTCGACTGTCTTGGCCTGTAATAGTTCACAGTTTTTCTTGAGTTCCTCATCGATGCCCGGGAAATCATTCAGAATGTGGTATTCCTTCAGGTCGTTCACTAGCTTCATCAGGGAATCTGCAGCACGGACCACATTGGCGGCACGCACCTGCATTTCCAGAGCATCTATTTCGTATTGCGTGGTCTCCTGAATTTGGCCGTTTCTATCACGGCAAGCCATCTTCAGGATTTCTTCAAAGTTTACCAACATGCTGCTAACGTCGGCTGACAACTGCGACTTGAAGGACATCAGGAGGGCATGCTTGGCCTGCGGGGTGTTTGCCATGTTTTTGCTTCTTTTCGCCAAGTTCCTCTTGTACTTAATATATCTTAATTCAGGTAGCTAAGTAATAAAAACAATTAATTAATTTATAAATAGAATACTCTTCTAAACAACCTTATTACTCCACAACTAATCGGTATATCCTTGTTTGCCTTGAATTAAGTCTCTTAAATATTTAATTCTTCAAAGTCTTGAATTCAGCTGAAAAAGAGATAAATCAAACATCGATTAATGAGACGCTTAACCTAAGATTGTAACAAATCAAATCGCAACAACCGAAATCAGCTTCTCTATCTCCATTATTCAAATTCTGACAGTTTTTCCCAGGCCAATCAATTAAATTGCTCAAACCGAACAAGTCGAGAACAAGCCCTCAAGACAACATTGCCAATAAATCACCTACTGGGGCAGCTGCTCTGGATTGCTCTGAACTTTGTGCCATGAGAATTATTGATTGGTTGGTTGACTTGACTGGCTGGGCTGGCTGGATTGCATGAAAAATGTACAAGTATCTCACGGTGCCCAGATGACCAAAAGCTGGGCAACTTTCGAGATAAACTTTATCGCTGACCAACAACCAAACAGCAGCCTGCAGTTTGAGTTGTAGTTGGGGCGCAGATGTTGACCTGGTATGCCATTTGCATGTTTGGTAGCTCCAAATTGCAGTCTGCTGCTGTTTGCAGTTGTTTCCTTTGGCTGCCCAGCTTTTTTGGCAATTGTCAACACAAAACTTTGTGAACAAGACAAAAATGTTGACGTAATTGCAGCAAAATGGCACATAAGTTATAGGGAAGGATCAACAGCAAAGTTTTGGTCGTATGAGAAAAGTTTCAGGCTGGGCTGTGAAGTTTCAATGGGTTAAGTGAGGGACGAATAGCCAATGAAACAGTATTGCAAAATTTAAAACAAAAGTATTACTTACTTTTATTTATTTAAAAAAATTTCGAAAAATGTCTTGCCTGTGCCAATCTCAACTTTTATAAGACCTTTTAATAGTGTATAAATATTTTCATTTTATGTGGCGCGTTCAATTTGTCAAAACATTTAATCAGCAATACTTTTCTCACTTAAGCTGTCAGCGCTGGAAAACGTGAATATATTTTAGTGGGGGGTTTGGAGTATCGGAGGGGCGTAGTGGGAGCTAAGAGGCCTATACATAACTCCCAACAGCCGTTGAAAAGGCCACCTCCAGCCTGAAGTCGCCAGTTATTTAACTTCTCTCTTTTTTCCTGCTTTTGGCTACCGCAAATTTGTCATTTGTCAAAACATTTAAATGCCATTTGCCGGTTTCCTCTTGAGTTGGGCGATTTTGACAGCTGTCGATAAGTTTTTCTTTCACGCTTTGAACACTTTATGCTTGAACTTTGCCCAGAGCAGTGTTTCTTGGTTTGCGCTTTGACTTGAAAACATTTGTTAGGATCGCTTTAAATCAATTTTTTGGTAAACCTAGTTTTCTGTTTTTCTCAAAGTGAAAGTGATACTCTCACTTTATTTCAGATTATTATTGGCTGGCATGTCTGGTGTCAATTATTGATGACTGCGGGAAGTTGTAAATAAACCGAAATTTGTATTGATTTGTTAAAATTAATTGGTTTTCTTGAACTGGAAATAGTTAAGGTGCTTTTAACGGATTTCATAGGATAGTATATCTAAAGAAATAAACTTTTGTTCGTAGGTTTTTACTTGCTTAAGTTTTGACACTTGATCCCTTGAGACATCATGTAAGTTTATTCTGTTATTAAATATGCCGAAGTTTACATTATTTCGCATTCTTTTTAAAAGTTATATATAAATATTTAATTAATTTTAAGAGCTCTTCCTTTCTTTGTCGGTATATAAGAATATCAACTTCATGCACATCATCTTTGGCCTCAACTCTTTTTATTTCGTTGTCGCCATCTTTGTAATTGAGCCGTTTGCCAAAAGAGATCCACGAAGTCCTCAAAGTCGAGAGGGGTCCATCTCCAGGGAAACCTATTTATGGCCGTAATTTTGATTGCTTCCCCAACCATCCATTGAGTTATTCATTCTCTTTTTCGGTAGCGGGCTGTCAAAACTCATAAAGTTTGCTTTCCTCACGGCGTCCTTTTTTTTTTGGTTTACTCTTTATAAAATAATATATGCATTTTTTCAGCTACCGAAAATCATTATTTGTGTCCAAGTTGAAGCCAATTTGGTTATGCAAAGCAGTCGGCAGAATTGATTGGACAGGAGGATTTCACTTTGACAGGAAGCACTCGAATGGCTGACTAACTGGAGATTACCTTAACAGCCGGCTTGTCTATTCCAGCAATTGGTTAATTTCCATTGCCATCTTTGAAGTTGGATTGCGAATTGCAACGACTTAATAAGCAGCTGGATATGGAGGAGATGGAGATGCCATGCCCCGTTTCGCTCCACTGTAATTTTTGCCTCCAGCTGTCTGTTTGTGTGCATAATTGGCCAGAAGGAAAACAAGAATGGCTGGGAGGGAACCGACCCCATGGGGCTCAGATAGCCAAATCCCCGGCTGCCCGTCCGAAAATAGTGAAAATATTTCTGTACCGTGTGCGCCATGTCGATATGAATAAAATGCAGAACAGTGAAATGCTTTTAAACTGCAGAAGCACGTGCGCCGAAGAATTCCCCCGACTGTTCATTGCATTTTCCCGTGTGCGTTCATAAAGGAATATACTTACCCAGGATTGATCAGCAAATATGTAGGAATATTTTTGATACTGCACTTGGATTGAGCACGTCGAACTGAATTAATTCGTCGAAAATTATGGAATGATTCGACCTTCTGACTTTTGGTTAGAGCTGGATCAAAAGTCGATACCAATTCGTTGATGGCAGCGTCGATATTTTCCCATCTCTATTAAGAGAAATAAGGATAGGGCTGGCGAACAATAACGATGCACCGATATGAAATCGATTATATGAACCAAAACAATTTTAAAACATCGAATACTTAGGAAAATATCGAGAAATATGTCAGTATAATAATAAGGGAATTCCCTAAACTGTTGAATTGCTGCATTGTTGAACCAAAATTCAACAATTTAGGGAAACCATAGCTGTCATTTTAGACATTAACTTAAAATCAAATACAAAATATTTTATGTTTTTTCATTCGAAAAATTTAAAAACTGGTCACAGCTGTTTGAAAAATCAACAGGAACCATTTAGGGTCGTTGCTGAAATTTCCGTTGAACTTTCAACAATTCAGAAACTCATCAGTTTAGGCAATACCCAGAATGTATTATCGGTAAATAACACTATCTTTTTAATAAACTCTACTCAATTAAGTTGTGACCAATCATCACCTCTCCAAGTTCCCAAGTCACCCCGAAATGGGAAACTGCAAACATAGCTCCTCAAACACCATTTCCCCCTAATTGCATCACCCACACGTCTCGCTTGTTGTTGTGAGTCATCCAAACAACAACGAACTCCATTGAATGGCAGCTACCAGTCTTCAATACCAAATCAAGCATTACTTGCATAACCCAGCGGAGTCATCGACCACATTGTCCCAAGATAGATGAACATCATCATCGCGATCAGCGGGCCGACCAGACCGGGCATGGATAAATATTTTTCTAAAACACAACTCGAACATGGATCCGAGAACCTCGGACTGGATGGGATGCCTCTTGAAGACGTCAGGAAAAGCCGGTAGCCGGTATACAGCAGTTGGTAGTTGGGAGAAAGAGTTGGTGGTGCTGGACAGGCCGAGCATGTGTTCTTCTCACCATCGGTCAGCAGCTTTTGAAGCACCCACTGACGGGACCCAACAAGAACTCGGCATCCGTCTGGCACCCGAGTCATCCAGCCAACCAACCATCCATCCGTGAGTCCATGTCCATCCCATCCAATCTTAACCCGTTCGGTTCCCACTGTTTCCCGGCTTTTAACGCTGCGCTGCACCGATGCATGACCAAACATCTTCAGTTCTGGTCAGTTTGGTGCTCCATCTTACCCCCCCTTTCATTTTATTTCTTTTCTTGGAAATGTGTTGACGCAGCTCGCCAAGACGAAAACCCCATGTCCATCGTCGTGTTTGTCAGTTGTTGGTTTGTTAGCCAGTTCTGTTTGTTTTCAATAAATATTTGACATTTGTCTATGCATTTTTCCCGAACCTCAGAGGACAAGTCAAGCGTTTGGCTGCCAACACCGACCGGGTACATTAATTTTTCAAGTACTCGAAACCAGTACCGTCCCCTTGTGCCCCAAAGATACGGTTAGAACCCGCCCATCGAGCATCGTAAAAGTTCGACTGAAATTGTCACCTGCCACACACCAGGTGAAAAGTTCTTAAGCCCTGCAGCTACATACATTCCCCTTTCATCTCTGCGGATGTTTGATTTGAACTTTGGTTGCGAAAGGAAAGGAAATTGTTTACCAGAAATCTATGTACGTGTGAAATTCCATAGGAAGTGTTGACACATTCGGGTTTGATCTAATTTTAAAAATATATAAGAAAACAGTGCTCACCCGGTGCGGTGAACAAATTAAATATTAAGATGTCTTTTCTATTAAGAATCTCTTGATAGTGCTGAAAATTTATAAGGTTACATAAATATTTCTTTGGCTCCATCTTAAAGAGATCCCTTTTTAGAGTAAAATTTAGGATTATCATTTGATTTTATAAACATTGGGCGATTTATTTTAAATGCCTTAGATATTATGTTATAAAAAAAATGTCCCTTCTGATTAATGGTAAACCTCTTCATCTTATAACTAGCTTTATAAATTTATTAGCTTAATTTATTTCGTTGCCCAAAAAGATAATAACATCAGAGAATTCCCGGCCAACCATTTAGTTTGGCTCTTAATTAAGCGACTTGTTTTGCTCGAGTGCCAAAGAGGCTGGCAACTTTTATCTAATCGGGAATCAGAATTGTGTAAGCTGCCTGCGAAATCTTTTCGTGTAGCGGTTCACTTAATAATTTAATAAGCTCCACGAAAACATGAAAATGTTTGGGGGGCTTAAGGTGAGCTCACCTCCGCTGCACTTGTGCTGAGATAATTATCACGATTTATGAGTCAAAAGCTCTTATCATCCACTTGCAATCATTGCACGAAAAGGCGTTGAAAGGCCCATTCAGCCATTAGCCAAAAAGCATTGGGGGCCATTAGATGGGAAAGGTGGACAAATGGACCCACCGTGTGTTTGCCAATCACTCGAAATGCATTTTCAGCTTCGTTTTTCCAGTCAATGTTTGCCCCACGCTCGTTTACCAACACTGCTCCGAATGCTGCGCATGCGCAAACGAGATCTTGAGATCGGCTTGGTTTCGGGGTTTTTGGGGTCTCCTCTCATATCGCACTCATTAGTTACGCCTGAGTGGGTTTTGGGTGAGCTTTGTGATATTCGATATCTGGCAAAGCCCCTCGAGGAGACACGAGTCGCCCACACTTCTCCTGGGGAGGTTTTTCGGAATCACTTTCAGATATTTTTTTTGTGCACTGTTAATTTGTCATTAGCTGTCAGATTTTATTAATAACTTGGTTGCCTCTTATTTTTTCTTTTATGTGTCCAGGCAAAAGGCGCGAGTCGCATAATAAGTAATGTCATAATTAAATTTATAAACTGTGAGTCATCTTCCCCTCCAAGCGGACAGGGACTGACAAGTTGTGTCGCCGACATTGTCGTCTGTCTAGACATACTGAGATTATGTCTGGCATTGAGCTATTGCTGTAGGAAATGCAAAATGCAGAAAAGGGAAACTACAGGAAGTCGAGGTGGAGTTGTGGAATTCTTTGTGCCCACAAAAAGGGAAACGAGATATGATTAAAGCATGAGTGCAAGATGATGTCAGATTGTTTTGCATTTGTGCGGTTTACCATTACCATTTTAAAATAGTTATGGTTTGGTTGATTACAATATCTTGCAAAATCAAGGATCTTTTAAAATATTTTACCCTTAAGCAGGGACAAAATTTGGCTTTAAGTTATAAGTTTATTAAAAATGTATATTTAAATATATAAGATAAATATGTTGTATTTACTGAAAATTAAAATCTACGAATGTTACGGTTCTGATAATAAAACATTAAAGTTTCTAATCAAATTTTCTTTTAATTTTGATATCCTTTGACCGATTTTGTTGGACAGCCCATAATTTCATTACAACTTGTTTAATGGCAAGTTGTCTATTTTAACGACCTAACCGGCAGTTAAATCAGACATTAACTGGGTCGTCCGGTCATCCGCAGGCATCGAGTGCCTGTTAATTTGAAATGGCAGCCATTAATGGCACACGCTGTACGCGATCGGCAATAAACAAATCATTTACCCGCAAGAGAGCTGTCCCATTCGGGTTTTATAATAAAAACATCGAAACGCCCCGAATCGATGTTTTGGGCAAACTTCAATAAATCTCTGGCGGAGTTTTGGGCGGCAGCCAAACTGGGTTCCTGGCAATCAGAGTTGACTTGTAAACTATTTAATTAGCACATGGTCCGTAAGCGCGTTAGTTTTGGTTGTAAAAAGGCGCCGACCAAGTCATGGGGAAGTCAACCCACGATCGCGCCGCAGGCGCCATTTCAGCCATTTGATGGCGCCGCCACCGTTTTGGCCACTTCGGTCTAAAGTTGGTCAATTGTTTGGTCCCAGTCCGGACCACAAGTCCCCAAGACCCCTTACCAAGAGCTGGTTAATTGTTTATACATTGAAGAAATTGCATTAATTTCGCTTGTTTACGTTGCATGTCGCCTGACGCTGTTGATGATTCGTATCTCTCATTTTGACTACAAATTTTTATCGCCTTGTCGCCGGACTTACTCATCCAACCAGTTTTGGCCTCAGGAAAAATCCCATGTCCAGGCTGTTTTGTGTTATTGCCATTTGATAAGCCTTTATCCTGTCGCGTCAGCGTCACAAAAAATGTTGCCATTTGAGTGGCAATTAACGATTTTATTGAACAAGCTGCTGTGGAATTATCTCCTAAGTTGAATGCGAAAATGCTTGAGAAATTTTCAAGCCGAATTGAGTGGAGTGGCTGTTAAGCCAATGCGAAGTTGATTATTAAACTAACAATTTTGGTTAAGCAAATTGCAAATCCAATATGGTTACGATTGCGAGTGATTGGAAAAGTAGAAAACTTAATGGATATTCAAAAATTTAATGGGAACTTAAAGTCTTTGGTATCTTAATCTTAAAGCTCGCCGGAAATTTAAAAAGTTTTATGCTTTTTAAACATTAATTACCAAAAGTATAGTTTGAAAGCAAATAAATTATAAAAGTGATTGATTTGCGGTTTAGTTACTATGCAACTTTGCACATAAAATGCACATTAATTTAGTCCAAAAATTATTAGCAAACAGATATTTTGGCAGCCAGCTGAAAGCTCGTTAATATTATTTCAAGGATGCCAAAAAAACCGCAATACAATTATAGCATACCGACCGCCGTTCAAAAATTTTTAGGTAAACCCGAACGTTCATTTAAAAAAATTCCAATAACTGGTTTCATCAACAAATAGCCTTCGAATCGCATTAATTAAGCAATTTGTCAGGCATCGTGTCGCGACGACTTCTCTGATCTCAATACCCGAAAGGCTCCAATATTGGATTAAATCGGATCAGATTCTCCTGGCCACTTTGCATGCAATGCGACAATTTCTCATTGATTGGTCCCGACCTGCGTTATTTAGAACACTAATCAATGGCCATGCCAAAATGTTTCATTCTTTCGAGCTGTCAGAGGCTGTAAGCCAGAAAGACAAGCTGCCAGGGGACTTGAACCTGAACTCGAATACGAATCCAAATCCGAGCCTGAACCTGATCTTCTAGGATTCCAGCTTTCAGCGTATGTTGGCAACGCGTGTCTACAGACAATTTGTTTTGTCGTT